TAAATAAAATGAACTTAGCTTTACCTGGGGCCGATGGAAGAGGGCCGACGATATCCATCCCCCATTTCATGAATGGCCATGAGGATAGGACTGAATGAAGTTGTTGGCTGATGAATCATCAGTGCAAACCTTTGATATTTATCACATTTTCGAACAAACTCCTTAGTATCTTTTTCCATGCTATCCCAGTAGTACCCTGCTCTAATGATTTTGTGAATCAGTGATTCGGCGCCGGAGTGGTTCCCATAAGTGCCTTCATGGACCTCTCGTAAAACATAATCGGTGCCTCCTGGTCCTAAGCACACTGCCAATGGTCGATCGAATGTTCTTCTGTATAATGTTCCATCTTTAGCCAATGTGAATCGAGCATCTGTGGTTCGTAGGGTCCTTGACTCTTTAGGGTCCGATGGGAGCTTTCCATTCTTTAAGTATTCAATATATTTGTTCCTCCAATCCTAGGTTAAGCTTGTAGAGTTTATCTCGGCATGACCTTCCTCGATCACAGATCTCGAGAGTTGAATGACAGTCCCCAAACTGATCTCATCTTCCTCGACCGATGACCCCAAGTTTGCAAGTGCATCGGCCTCACTGTTTTAATGCGGATGCAGTCAAAAGGTACTATGTTTGACCCATTACTCAATATTAACATTCTCCGATTAGGATGACGAAGGCTTTCACTCTCGCTACCCAAACACTATTAACCCCTTACAAACCCTTTGAGCTAGATGCTTTTCCTTGATCACCTTCACTGGAACTTTGTATGTAAAAAAAAAAAAATCAAAAACAAAGTTCACGTCATTAAACTACGTCCGATATGATTCCAAAAGGATACGTAGGCAGCCTCACTATGGGGTTTAGGCACACCAAAACAAAAATCCATATTCCCCCAAAAGTGAAAACTGGGGCAGATGTTATAATGGTTCGGCAATGGTTCAGCCAGAAAGGTTTCAAAGTTGTAATTCAATCCAAATATTTTTTTATCCAAATCCTATTCAAATCCTTCTAATCAATCGGCGAGAATGTTCAAGAATTGTAGGACACATTTATTTGGATCTGATGCAACCAAAATGAGAGAAATAAAATAAGAGAGTCTTTGTTGGTGAAAACCCTCATGGGCACTACTGATCGAAAAAAAGATCCTTATAGCCAGTTGGTGAGAAGAGAAATGAGAGAGGTCAGCTGGTTAAAACCCGCAAAGGGCACTACTGATCGAAAAGAGGATCCTCATAGCCATGGCATCAACACAGTACTGGGCAAGGTTTGTCGGTGTCAAGGCAAAAGTTGTGATGAGTTTCTAAGAGTCGGACGGTTTACACAGATCAGGAATCCAGTCCAAAGGCATTTTCATGATCATTGTTGTCCGCATATACTCCTAGATAATTCCGTCTTTCTATTCCCCGAAAGGTACACCTCTTGTTTAAACTCATTCTGCATTCCATTACTTATTTACTTTGAATCCCTTTCGGTCTAACTTTGTTCCAAAAATAAAGGTAAATAAGAGATGGCAAGACTGATTTATAGGGCTCTCATTCGACACAAGCTGATATATTCAAAAGGCACCCAGCCTCGGTAAGGTCATCAAGTCGACCTCGACTGGCCATGGTGGCCGATGCTTTGAAAAAACTCTAGGTAAAAGGAAATCAAATTACAGTTCCTACTAGGGCAAAATGAAGTTGAAAAGCTTAAGTCCCACGCGACTAACTGTCTTGCAAAGTTTGAAAAGCCAATGGTTCCCCAATGCTCTGAAATTGGAACTTTGAAGAAAGAAGTCAAAAGTTAAAAGCCCACAAAGGCAAAATAAAGTTGGAAAGGTTAAGTCCCACTACGTGACTAGCTGTCATGGCAAAAGTTTGAAAAGCCAAAGGTTCTCCGGGGCCAGAAATGCAATTGGTATTCAGGAAACAACCAGTTGCAGTTGAAATGATCATCAAAAGAAGATGGGCTGAGATCAAGTGACTGAAACACTCAAGGCCACAAAACCAACCACCGTTTTGAACTAACAATTATTCTTTGTTAAAAAACAGGAAACAGGTGCAATCCAAAAACAACCTTGCAAGAAGCAGGTGCAACCAAAAGGAAATCGCGATGAAAAACAGCACTGCAAAAAACTCTCAAAAAAGGGAACTCCACTCAAAATTCTTTCCCGCATTTTACTCATTCTCTAAAAAAAATAATAAAAAAGAATAAGAAAATAAAAAATTCTAAATCATGGTAGTATAGGGTACACCAATCCCTAGCTGTATTTTCTAACGTAGGTTACACCATTCCCTAGTTGATGTTTTAGACATAGGGTACACCACTTCCTAGTTTCCTTACCAGTATAGGGTACACCATTCCCTAGTTGTGTTTTCTAACATAGGGTACACCACTCCCTATTTGATGATATTTTATACGTAAGGGTACACCATTCCCTAGTCTCCTTACCAGTATAATGTACACCAATCCCTAGCCGTGTTTTCAAACATAGGGTATACCACTCCCTAGTTGATTGATCTTAAATGCAGGGTACACCACTCCTTGATATCATTACTAATTGGTATTAAAAGCAGTGTACACAACTCCCTAATATCATTATTGATTGAGCTTAATGCAGGGTACACCACTCCTTGATATTATTACTAGACATATGGTACACCACTCCCTAGTCTCCTTACCAGTATAGGGTACACCAATATCTAGTTATATTTTCCAACGTAGGGTACACCATTCCCTAGTTGATGATATTTTAGACATAGGGTACACCACTACCTAGTCTCCTTACCAGTATAGGGTATACCAATCCCTGACTGTGTCTTCCAACAAAGGGTACACCACTTCATAGTTGATGATATTTAGACATAGGGTACACCACTCCCTAGTCTCCTTACCATTATAGGGTACACCAATCCCTAGCTGTATTTTCCAACGTAGGGTACATCACTCCCTAATTGATTGAGTTTAAATGCATGGTATACCATTTCCTGATATCATTACCAATTGATCTTAAATGCAGGATGCACCACTCCCTGATATCATTACTAAAATAGGGTACACCACTCCCTGGTCTTTTACCAGTATATGGTACACTAATCCCTAGCTGTGTTTTCCAACATATGGTACACCACTCCCTATTTAACTGAGCCTAAATGCAGGGTGCACCACTCCCTGATATCATTTCAAATATAGGGTACACCACTCCTTAGTTCTTTATCAGTATAGGGTACACTAATTTGTAGTTGTGTTTTACAATATAGGGTACACTACTCCCTAGTTGATTTGATCTTTATGCAGGGTACACCACTCCCTGATAATCTTTGCAAATATAGGGTATACCATTCCCTAGTATTTTTACCGGTATAGGGTACACTAATCCCTACCCGTGTTTTCTAACGTAGGGCACACCATTACCTAGTTGATTTGATCTTAAGTGCAGGGTACTCCACTCCCTAATATCTTTGCCGGTATAGGGTACACCATTCCCTAGCCGCATTGTTCCAATAAAAGGTACAATAATCCTTAGTTGTGACGTCATTTGGACAATAAGGGAACACCATCCCAAAAAAAAATCAAATCATGATCACTTCAGGGTACACCATTCCTGACACTTTAATGCTTTTAATAAAGAAGTAGTTTAGAATTTTGTTACAATAACTCAAGAAATTTTCCCAGTGAAAACTAGCATAGAAAAATTTCGTTCGTTTGTTTGTTTTGGTGTCTGAGCAGATTCTACCTCGAAGCACAGGGGTCGAGATGATCAAAAGAAGAAGTCTCAACCCAAGATAAAGAAAAGAAAAGAAAAAAGAAGTGTATCCAAAATGCAGAAGTAGATGAAAATATGTGGATTGCTCAAGACATGATTGAAGTCATGAGCATTGCATTTCTCATTTTGATCAGAAGAAGCCGCAGAAGAACAAACTAGTACCTACAACTAGCAAGTATCAAGGTTCAGATCAGAGTTTGCATGGAGAACCAATCATGACTCAAGATCAAATTTCAAAAGACTTATAGATAGGAATCTTGCAACTCACAGCTGCTAGGCTTGTTTAGTTTCTTTTTATTTTGATTTTGGTGTAATAAGGAGGTCAGCAAGTAGCAACAGTAGCGATAATAGTGAAATCATAGCTTTTTGGTAGTCCTAGCTACCAAAACTTCTAGAACTACACTGACCTGATTCCTTTATAGCCAAGGATATGTAGGCAACCTTAGAAGCAAGGTTCGGTCAAACCTTTACAAAATGCTTCATATGGAGTATCAAGCAGGCAAAAATTATTCATGATTGCTCACTTTATCTTTGCCTAAAAATTCTTCATGTTCTCGAGCAAAGAGGGGCAGTTGCGAGCACGTAATTTTTACCCTACACATAGATTACTCCTAAAAAATCCCCCAACAATATTCCTCTAGTTTTTTTTTTTGATTTTTAGAAATTTTAGGGATTTTTCTTTATTTATTTGTTCGCATTTACTTGCATTTAGTCGCATTCATACATATTTAGAAATGTTTTAAAAATCTTAAAAAAACATCAAAAATATTTTTATCTTTCATTCGTTGCATTTTAGACTTTAATTGCACTTCAAACGCTTAGTCACATTTTAATTGCATTATTAAAATACACAAAAAATGATTAGTTGCTTTTGTTTTGTTTTTACATTTTTAGGTATAATTAATTAATTAATTGTTTAAGTAGTAAAGATATTAGGTAAAATAGATAGCTAAGTTCAATTTTACAATTTAGTCTTAATTTGGATGATTAAATAAAAGTGTTTTTAATTTAGAAAATTAAAGAATAGAAAAAAAGAGGTTAGCTTAGTCTTTGTTTGGAATTGGTCCAAAGCAATTGTAGATGGCCCAATTATTTTTAAATCCGCCCAAAACCCAATCCATAAATCCGACATAGTGCCTCCCATAAACCAAACAAAGTCGTTTCTAATAGGATTAATATCAGCCGTTCATCTCCCATAATCCAACGGCAGGAAACTAACCCTCTTTCCCATAAGACTGTCTCAAATGACCCCCCCTCCCCCCACGCCTAAACACTCCTCTCAGACCATCCCTCTTACATCTCTCTACACCCCACCATCCTCCACCTTATTTTGCCGTCGGAAATCGTCTCACGACGACAAAACACCTCCATATATCCCCAAATTATCACCCTTCAATCCCCAACACCCCCTAAATCCAAATCTACCTTCAATTTTCCCAAAATCCCCACCGAACTCAATGAATTATAGATATGGAAATCTCGGAAAAATTAAAATTTTTGCTCTTTCGTTTGCTTGATCATTTCGGCCAGTATACGTTCAAGACTTCCATCAATAGAGATTTGATCCGTTTATCGATGGTCGAATCTAGGTCAAATTGCTGCTGACCGGCCAATTTCTCCCGGAACCCCTTTCTGCCGACTCCTTTGAGCTCAATAGGTATACCCCTTTTTGTCTCTCTTCTCTTTTACTCTATTATTTCTTTTTCTTAACCTTGTGTTGCATTGTCTTGTCCGAATTTGTTTAGTCAGTTAAGGATAGTCATGCAGAATTAGGATTTAGATGAACTAATATTTGCATTCTAGATTGATAGTTAATTACTTATTTTAATTATTTTAATTGGAATTCAAATCCGTTTGTTCAAATGTCTTAGCTTAGTATTGGGCCTGTCTTGCTTGACAGGCAAGCCCACTAGATTAAAGTTCAAGATTGGGGAGGATTGAGAGTCTAGGTCTTGATTTTGGGCATGTTGTCCACAAGGCCCAGGCATGTGAATTTTGGCTAGGTGGTTAAAAACATGGGTTTTAGGGGGCATTTAAGGGATTTAACTTGGGGAATAATCTTGTAACTAATTTATGTACTTCTAGAAAGGAAAAGAAGGATCGAGTTGCAATAAAACAATGAAGAGGTCGAGGTGAGGAAGAAAATACAGAAAAGAAAAAGGACTAAAAGAAAGGTAAATAACAGAAAAACAACGGTAAGAATCTGCTATAAGATAGTATACTCTCCTCACACTTTTGGTCATTCATTCTCATCTGCAGATACAGACTCACTCATCCTCACTCCTACGCAAAAGAGCTCACAGTCCCAATTAGCTAAATTAATTTCTGAATTCAAAATTTGAGTTTCAGATCTGGAAACCAAAAACTCCAAAAAATACCAAAAACAAAAAACAAAACAAAAGATTCAAAAAGAGATTCAACAGCTGTCTTCGATTTCTGCCTACAACTGCATAATTTTTGGCTTCTAAAGATGGTTTGATTTGAAGAAGTTGCTTGTGTTTACTGTTGCTGCCACTCTACCGTTAGCTGGGGTTTACCCATAAGTGTTCTAGACCTTTATTTGGTTTGATTTGGCTGTTTATTTGTAATTAGGTATGCTCTAAGTCTCTGTATGATCTGATTTGTTTTTATAAATAAGCTATGATTGATTAATGTCATAGGTTGGTTGATTTGGGTGATTTAGCATGCTTGGTGCATTAGTTGTGTTTGCAACATGTTTACTCTCTTGAAATCCATGTTATATGTACTGATTACAGTCAAATGTGCTTAGATCTAATTTTTGAATATTAACAAATGCTCTATAGTTACTGGTAACTAGAAATTAGGTTCCTAGATGTAAGGTGACCTCCACAGGAGTGCAATGGAGCTGGCCTTGGGCATTATTCTCGAATTATTACATGTTTCTATGTTTAAACCATTAGCACAAATAGTCATTCGTGTAATAGGGTGAATCTACGTGTTTGTTTAAATTTAGCAATCGCAAGTGTATTATGATTCAGTTTTAAATATGAAGGATGGAAAGGTTTGAAGTGAGGAAATTTCGGCTCTGTAATTTTGATTAGCTAAACTAATGAGCTACTGTTTCTAAAACTCAATTGTTGAAGATGGCTTTTATTGTGAATTCAAATTACGACCTCTGATGTAATGAACTGCTACTGTACTCTGAACTTCGATGATGAAATGCTGATATTTAGGAAAAGTTTTTCTTATACTTTCATTTTCGTGAATTTGTTGGATTTGCTTTTGGGCCACTGTATTTCTTAAAATTATTGGGCCTGAATATCTGGCCCATGCGGAAGTTATCAGGTCTAGGCTCAATTTGAGACCCATTTCTAAAAACTTGTAACTTCATGTGTGTGAAGATTTGCTCCCTGCCGAAAGGCTTTGGCGCATTAGGCTTCACCCCAGGCCCAAGTGTGACCCCATTTTGGTCCTGTTAGAGGTCTTATGGTAAGCCTTCAATCGCATGCATTTCATAATATTGACAAGTAATCAGTGTAGCACTGGGCCAATCTAGCTAAAACGTTAATTGAGCTTCTAGAATACAATCACCACTATTTTAAGTAACAAAATATATGGCTATCCCAACAAACAAATTCCATAATTTTGGACCTTCACATGTAATCTTATACTATTGATACGTAATTAAATCTTATGAAAATGCGTAGTTGCTCTTAGGCATGACTAATAATAAATTATCGTAACTATGGGTACAGTTCCGGTGGCATAGTCATGATATGTAACCCCAATTTTAAGTGCACGTTCATGTGACTTGACCCCAACTTTAAATAATAATAAAATAAACATATTGTAAATCATGGGTAAGTTTCACGTGGTGTGATTTGCAATATGTACAAAAATAACAAGTGCGCGACATCGTAACTTGTTTAAAGAAATTTCATAATTGTTTAAAATAATTAAAAGCGATAAAAGGTAAAAGCGTACGTAGGTTTAAAATATGCAATACACAGAAAATTAAGCCGAGTGTAGCTGTAAAGTGACCGTGCTAAAATCACGGAATCCGCGAGTGCCTCACACCTCCTCCCGGGTTAATAGAATTCCTTACCCAATCTTCTATGTTTCGCAGACTTAAACAGATTCAAAACTTCCTTGAATTGGAATTTAAAATAAATCGATAACTTGGGACACCTTAATAATTTATTCAATGTGGTCAATTTTTTAAAAGTATAAATAAATACTTCCTTTTCAATAGTATCACTTAAAGTGGAAAAATTCCTTTCCCCGTAAAAAGGAGATGTGACAGCTCTAACCCCAACTGGATCCTAATATCCCATCCTTCACTTAAACTATATTTGTTAGCTCCCATAGGGCATAACTGAGATGGATGTAGCCAATTGTATATAACTCTGTTACTGTTGAAGGTAACTCAGAATGCATATATTTCTTTGCTTGAATTGTAAATACTGATATCTCCACTTACTGGGTGCCTCATACCCTCCTTCACCTTGCTTCTATTACCTATTAAAACTTATACTGTTACCTTCTGATAGTCCCATGGCCTGCTATTCACGGGGTGTGTTTGATATTCCCATCTTAGGGTTTTAAGTTGGAAATATGCACATATGGTATGCACGATCTGATAGGGCCTCAAACAAGGCCATATCGTCAAGAACTCTCTCTTTATTAGTGCCCTTACCAGTTGCTGTATTAGCCCTCTTGCTAGCTGTAATCTTCCTAATTGCAAACATCTCTGTATCATTAGCAAACATAAGTCCTGACTCAAACTATTATGACTCAGCTCCGTAGCACGATTTGGATTTAAAAGAAGGGTAACAAACTCCTAAAATGCCTTGTAGCTTCCTGTTTATATAATGTGGTGCACAACACATCTATAAACAAGGCTCTACTAGAGATGACTTGTAGACTCCTTAGGATAGAACTGCTCTGATACTAAGTTTGTCACACCCCAAACCTGGGGAGGCGTGGCCGGCACCCGGTGCCATACTTTCCCCGAGCATATCACTCTATAACTGTGAACTATAGAGGGGTAACCCTCAACTTAGGCCAACGAGGCCTACCTGCAAGCTGACAATGCCAATCAAGGCCAACAAGGCCATATTCCGAATCATCTAAAAATAACATCTCTTCCATCTGAGGGGTAAGAATACCCAAAAGCTCATATACATAACTGTGTAGGCCGACGAGGCCGCCATGAACGTCTACAACCAACAATACAAAACTGAACATGTACATAGGGCTGGCAAGGCCACAATACTGATATAAAAAATATATAGGACTCATTTACAAGCCTCTAGAGATAACTGAACTGTATCTTGGTGGGGACAGTGCATCGACCTACCCATCAAACCTGTATATATAGAATGGATTCTAAGGTCTAGACCTGGTAACTCCGGGGAAGTGGAGCTTACAAACCAAGCTGATGTTTGGTTCTGTCTACTAGGAAGGTCTATACGGCTGTCTATCATGACCTGCAGGCATGAAATACAACATCCCCGGATAAAAAGAGATCAGTATGAAATAATGCACCCAGTATGTAAGGCAATAGAATAAATAAAAGTTGAGACTAAACTGATAATATAATAATTGAAAGTAACTGGGAGTCAAATATGATATGAAGATATGCTAACCTGCTGATATCGACTCAACTCTATTAATATAGTAAATAAAATAGTTGTCCGGCCCTATAAGGCTCGGTACGTGTAACTACTCTACCATAGTAGGCTCGCTCATAGGCGCTAGCCCATACTAGGGTCGATATCTCGGTCATTCTAGGCTCGCTCATAGGTGCTCGGCCATAGTAGCTCGAATGGCAAGTTATATACCGAGCCTACTATGGCCGAGTGCCTTTGAGCGAGCCCAGAATGTATAGACCCTCTTCTCTCTTGACTGGAAGAAGACAATACTTAACTGAATGTAAAATCCCGATAAGGGAGAATACTGTAACTTATGGGACTAGGATAATGTACATAAATTCAGAAATATGAACTTCTCTTTATGTCTCTGTCACGACCCTAATTTCCCATCGTAAGATGTCGTGATGGTATTTAGTCTCTATGACTAGGTAAGCCTAACAGATAATAATAACTTGGCAGAAATAATTATCAAATACTCAAACAAAACTGAATAACTGATATAACCTTCCGAAAAATAGAATCTCATCAATACACTCCCTGTCTGGAAGAAAATACAACAGTAAACAAGAATGAAAGGGAAGGTGACTCTGAGGCATGCAGACGTGGAGCAGGTATACCTTGAAGTCTCCAAAGCAGCAACTCCAATTAACTCTAGCGGTCGGCACGGGCACACGTACCTGGATCTACACAAAATTTGTGTAGAAGTGTAGCATGAGTACACCATAACGGTACCCAGTAAGTATCAAGCCTAACCTTGATAGAGTAGTGACAGGTCAAGACACCTACTAGGAAGTAAATAAACAGTATAAAAAATTAATTAGGATAAATAATGGAAAATGGAGAAATAACTGATACCGGACATTAGACATGGAAGTAACATAAAAGAAGCAGCTAAAGAGAATCACAATGATCATATACAGAGAACAACTGCTAAACAAGGAAGAAAAAAAAAGTAATGTTCCTACCAAAACTACTTGCGAAATGAGATAAACAACAAGAATCACAACGAGATACCGCCTCGTGTACAATAAGAATCACTACCGAGGTACCGCCTCGTATAAATCAAGAATCACAACTGAGGAACCACCTTATATTCACATTTCTCAATTTCAATCACAATCTTTCCTTATTCCGCTGCGAGAGCCTTATATTTGAAATGGGTTTTGAAAAATAATATTTCCAACATAGCTACACGCACTTTAGCCCACCTTATGATGCCGCGTGACTTCACGTAGTTCTCCTACAAGCAACACGCACATAAGTACCACCTTATACTGCCGCATGCATATTAACCCCGATCCTTATACCGCTGTATGCTTGTCAATATCACATCACAATAATAACTCACACCACAAGTGCCCATATATCACAACTTGCCAACAATCAACAATATTAATGCCTCCACTATAATAGCCCATGGCTCCACCACAGCGGGTACAAGAATATCAACTATAACAATGAATGTTAAATTCTCAACAAGGAAGATGTTTCAACAACAACAACAATTTTGCCTCAACGTGATAACGGCCTTCACAACTTCAACACCAATAACTCAACAATGAGAGATAATATATAACCAAGAAATTAAATAATAATAACTCACAATGAAAAAGATAACATGTGACAATGACTTCACTTAATGGAAGTCAACAAGGAAAGAGATAACATGAATAATAACTTCAAGTATGATAATCAATAATGAAAGAGATATCGCAGACAATAACTTCAAATAATGATAATCAACAATGAAAGAGGTAGCGTGTAGCAATAATAGAGGCAAAAGTTCAACTAAAGCATGAGAGCAATTTATCACTTAGAATGTAGAACGAGTGTTAACGAAAATATTTAAGGCATGTAAGGATAGAATAACACAAGTAAGAATATATTGACTATGAGAATTTAGAACATGATATGACAATTAAATTAAAGCACAGAAAGAGTCTACGTAGCCTAAACCGGTCAAATACTATGTACAACCCGTATACCCACTCGTCACCTTGCGTACACGGCTTTCACATAACATAAATGAATCAATCAATACCAATCCTAAGGGGTAGTTCTGCCCCCCACCCCACCCCACCCACAATGTTAGGCAAGACACTTACCTCAACTAGGCTAATTCAACACTTGGAAATAGCTTTTCCCTTAAAATTCGCCTCCACACGGCTCAAATCTAATCCAAATCGATTTAATATCATCAAACAATGCTAGGAAAATCAATTACAATAGATAAAGCTAAGATCTTTATACTTTTCCTAAAGGATCAACAAAAGTCAATCCGGGGCCCTCCCGGTCGAAACTCGGGTCCAATGGTAGATTCCGTCTACCCATGACCCCACGAGTTCATATATGTGATAAGTTTCAAAATCCAAATCTAAATAGACTCTCAAAACTCAATTTCTTATTTTTCAAAAACATGACAAAGTTTTAAAAAAATTTCACTTTGATTCACATGATTTTGATGTAAAGATCTGTTGATGGAATATGATTAGAAATAGATTAGAATTACTTACCCAAGGTTTGTAGGTAAAAATTCCCTCTCCAAATCGCCTCCTACCTAGTCTAGGGATCAAAAATGAGAGAATGAGTTCAAAAA